CTTTCTGTGAAATCTGCTTCTGCTAAACGCTGCCCAAATGCTATTTACTTTGGACAATTTAGATACTTGAAGATAGAGACTAACATGATACCTCTTAATCATTTAAAACTGTTTTACCATGTGTCAAACTGTTCACTGGGGAGTATTTTGCCAGAGGACAGAGCCAAACAATTCACAAGCCTATTTTTCCTAAATATCAATATTATATGAGTATTGAAAAAAATAGAAAAAGAAGGTAAGCAAAAAGAAGAAAATGTAAAATCTTATCAATTACACTGGATGTCTACATAGATGAATAGTGTTAGCATTTTGAATTTGACTTACATTTTCTATACTTGAATTTGGTCATTTTTAATATTCTTATGAAATGATGAAATGATCATTTTATGAGATAAACTTACAACTTAAGAAATCATGTTGATCTGTGCTGTTAAAGCCACATACACTCTGAATGTTGCTTTTTCCCCTTTATACTTAAAGTATGGCACACTCTTTACTATTGTACAGATTATAAAAATTTTAATTGAAATACTTTCTCTTCTTTCACAGCCCCCTAGTGGATTTAGTACCCTGGAATTTCTGCCCGGACCAAATCTTCTCAGGCTGAAAGCATAAAATTCATACATAGTTCACAGTGCTTATCGGGAGTCTGCCTTGACTGAATTTAGCATAACGTTCTGGTGAACCAGAGCTGTCTTCTCACACTTAATTGATTATTTCTTAAAGAGTCAAGGTTGTTCAGAGTGTGTGCTCCGGAAGACTTCATTGTAGAGTTGTTTACCTATTTCATGGCAAAAGGCAATCATTCAGTAGTCACTGAATTCATCCTCTTGGGCCTCACAGATAATCCAGAACTTCAAGCCCTTGTGTTTTGTGTATTCTCGCTGATTTACTTGGTGACTGTCTTTGGTAATCTTGGTTTGATTGTGCTGATACAAATCAGCCCTCAGCTTCACACACCCATGTATTTTTTCCTCTGTCATCTGGCTTTTGTTGATTTTTACGGGACCTCCGCCATCACTCCAAACATCCTTGTGAACTCTTTACGTGAGATTAAAAGTGTGTCCTTTTACGCTTGTGCTACTCAAGTGTGTTGCTTTATCGCATTTTCCGTGTGGGAGTTACTGATGCTGTCTGTCATGGCTTACGATCGGTATGTGGCCATCTGCAACCCTTTGCTCTATGCAGTTCTCATGCCTAGGAAACTCTGCATTCAGATGGTCGCTAGCTCTTACATCTACGGAGTCACCGTGGGACTCGTGCAAGCGGTGGTCACATTCCGCATGTCCTTCTGTGGGTCCAATGTCATCAACCAGTTCTACTGTGATGACGTGCCCTTGATTGCTCTGGCCTGCTCTGGTACCCAAGTCAAAGAGCTGATGCTGGGCATCATCGCTGGGTTCAATGTTTTCTGTTCTCTTATCATTGTTCTCATCTCCTACGTCTTCATCGTCTTTGCCGTCTTAAGGATCCGTTCTGCTGCAGGAAGACAGAAAGCCTTCTCCACCTGTGCTTCCCACCTGTTGTCTACT